GCCAGGGCTCAATGGACCCGGGGAACAGGCCCCAGTGTCGCTCCTGGCTTTTGTGTACTACTGTCATGTCACAAAGGAGGTTGGGCTTGTTTATCCCCACTTCAGAGATGGGAAAACTGAGGCCACGAGGTCATCTGGCAGAGTTGGGAACCAACGCAGCTGCCCCTGAGGCAGCAGTGGCTGTACCGGCGTGACGGAGGGCCAGGTTTGCGTGAGGCGTGGGGTGCGAGGCACGTGTGTGCCGAGAGCTGCTGGGGCTCCTCGCGGCACAGACCCCAGCGCAAGGGGCTTGAAAGGGCTTGGTCGGGACAAGTGGGAGAACCCGCTCCTGCCGCGCCGCGTGCGGGAACCTGGGGCCACCCGGGCGCTCTCGCTATCCCACGCACGCGGCCTCCCGCCCGGCATGGCCTCACCCGCTTACCAGTAGTAGAGGCTGCTGGGTCCTACGAGCAGCAGGGCGGCCAGGGGCATCCTGCTCTCCTCCTGGATGCGGGTGAAGCAGCCGGTGAAGTAGATGAACAGGATCAGGAAGAAAGGGATGTACCTGGGGAGAGAGCAGGGCGCGAGGTCTGCCAAGGCCGTTCCCAGAGGGGCCCGTGGTGCCACTGCCTGCAGCTGCTCAACCAGGGGGCTGTAAGGCTGGAGCCCTCCCCACCGGGCTTGCAGATCGCGAGTCAGGGGTGCGCTAGGGGCTGCTCGAGAGGATTGGACTCCCTTGGGCACTTGCAGGACGAGCAGGCAGCTGCCGGTTAGGAAGGACCCTGCGTTCCCATGCCAGGGGATGGGGAGAGACCTTGACTGTCCCTGGGAGGTGGGGGCAGCCCAGTCCAACTGCACCGGCTCTGGGGGGGGTCTCACTGGGCAGGGGCTGGAGTCTTTCTGGGACAAGCAGCAGTTTGCTGTGTCCCGAGGCCGCGAGCCAGGCTCTCGCTCGCTTACCACATCGAGTGACCCAGATACTCGTCGTAGTAGTACAGCAGCTCGAAAGAGTCGATCTGCAATGCAATGCAATGGGGTTAGAGCCACGCGGTGCAACGGGAGCAGGCTGGTTAAAGACGGTACAAACCCTAGCGGTGTTACCAGAGTCTCCGGCTTCAGGTTCTTGATGATGGGATTCTCCCTGACGGACAGATGGTGCTGGTAGCCGCTGAAAATCAAGCGGTGGTTGACGGAGTCTCCGACCAAGTGGATGCTGGCACCCATGACAAACACGATGATGCTGACGTATACCATGGATCTCGGTAAGGTCTTGGGGGATCTTTCGATGAGCTGCAATTCAAGACCACAAGAGCTGCCGTGGACTGGGTCAGACCTCGGTCTGTCCTGCCCAGTCCCTTGCATCGCACGGCACCAGAGAGCAGAGGCTGGAAAGGAGAGTGAACTGGGTCTGACTAGGGTTTGTTTCCCACCTGCCTGGGATGATGTAGTTGGGGCTGGTCCTGCTTGGAGCAGTGGCTGGACTAGGTGTGACCTCCCGAGGTCCCTTCACACCCTTGTTTTCTACAAGTCTCTGATCCTAAGCAAGCCATGGCACGTGAGAGGGCTGCTGCCTGCAGGTCCCTGCTGTAGTGAATCCAGGCCGCGGTCCTGTGTGGTCCAGTCGCCCGTCTCTGACAGCACCCAGAGCCAGATGCTTCAGAGGAAGGTGCGAGAACCCATCGGTGGACAATTAGGGCCAGGTCCCATTGAACCTGCTGGGCATCTACCAGGATTGAGATGCCTATTCCCCCTGCTCACACTCCCAGAAACCAGCTCACTGCAAGGTGGGGGTGTCACCTTCCTCCCAGCTGGTTTGTGACTCAATCCTAGGCCCAGCACGTTGCAAAAGCACGAGCATTTGTGGACTTTCAGGGGCTGAAGAGTGTGGAAACAGAATTGCACTCGGACGCCCAACAGGCGAGACAGGATCTGGCTTTGACATAACAGCCTGCACAGGTGAAAAGCTGCCTCTTCCTTCACTTTCTTGCCATCTCTTGCCTGCAAAGTAGCTCCAAGAAACATGTAAATCAAAACTAATGTTTTCCTTTTTTCTTCATTTCCTCTACATTGGATGTTAAACAAATACGCAGCTGAACTTGGCCCATGGAGCCTCTCTATCCAGCCCACCGGGCTACTGGAGGGCGCTCGACGTTGGACCCTTTACCCTTGCTTGATACAGCCACCAACTCGCTGGTGCTATACGCTGTGCCCCTACCATCCCCGGCCCGTGTGCTCCTGCACTGCCCTGTCTCAGCTGGACCACTGCAACCCCCACAGTGGTCACTGCAGATGTGGCCCTTATGGCCCAGATGTGTCTGACACCCCTGCTCTAAATCATTTCTATCAAACTTGGTAAAAATACCACCCTACATGTTTAGCCTCCCACCGCAGGGCTTGCCGGGGTCCCCTTGACAGCGCTGACGTTGGCGGCGCGTCACTCGGAGCGGCTGAGTTACTCGACAGCCATGGGGAGACACGTGATTCATTTGCAGTTAAAAAAAAAAGGCAGCTGCTTTCAGTCCTCGCTATGCTGAGCTGCAGCCGTCCTCTCCGAAAGCCTCTCGCCCTCCAGTGGCAGCCGGGCTGGCAGCAAGGGAGTGCAGCAATCCTTTTTCAAAGGGCTCTTGTTGCACTGTTCTTCCCAAGGAGCACGAGTTGCTCATCTCTGGGGGTGCAGCTTCCTTCACGCTGAGCTGACGCGAAGGTGAAACCCCAGCACCGAATACAATGGCCCAGTGATGCTCTTCCAGCCCCTGATGCACCGACCTCCAGGGGTGAAATCCTTCCTTGTGCACCTTCCCATGACAGTCGCCCTGCCAGTACGGGCTTCACGCCGCCCAGACCACGTAACAAATCCCTGTCCCTGGCAAGAGCTCCCTAGAGGAGAGTTTCCCCAGTGGTTTCTACAGCACAGAGGCCCCTAGACATATTAATGTGGTCCCTGGGAGGCAGGGACTGTGCATGCAAGGCCGGGTGTTCACAGGCACTGAAGGAAAGCGCCGGGGTGACCCCTCCTGCATGCAACTCTCCAAAGAGTTGGCAGAAAAGCACTCTCTGCGTCGCCAGCGCTGTTTGAGCTCAACCCCGTCAAAGTCCAGTTCCCCAGCTGAGCCTTTAAAAGCACCATCAGCCCTTTGAGGAAGATTTTGTAAGGAAATGGAGATGACCAGCTCCATAGTTTGGGAACCGGCTATGTTCTTCTCATCCCACAAGATGCACTACCATGATTTGTGCCTTCTTGCTGCAGCCCCGACGCACAAAAGTGTCAAAGCCTCGATGGAGTTTTTGATGTGTGTTTAGAGACAGTCTAACCAGCAACTTAGCTTCTTCGCTTCTTTTATGCTCCTCTGTAAATGTCAATATTTAGGAATTCGGAACAGGGCCACAAGAATATAGGCGTGGAAGAGCCTCCAGCCGAAAAGAGATGGCTGAGATTGGGACAGTACTGCAGAGTGGGGCTGTGATAGAGGTGTGGGAAATAATGAATGGCTTGGACAAGAGGGGTTGGGCTTTCCTGTCTGCCCTTTCTTAAAATACAAGTATGTGAGGAAACTCAGTTCCACAGGAAGAGACAGCAAACCTGAAACCGAAGGCAGGCGAGACCCTTTCGCCTGACACGCAGGTAGCCCAGGGGACGTGCTGCTGCTAGATGTCAGTGGGGCCCAGCATCGGAGAGGCCCCAAGTCCCCCAAAGGGACCAGGTCTTGGGGTGGGCACCCAGAGTGACCAAAGTTAGGGTGGCTAAAGCCAGGGGTGGCCAACCTACAGCACGTGTGTCACCGATGACCTGTGCGCACGGCACATAGCAGACTGGGGTTGCGGCAGGGAGCAGAAAGCAGAGATTGGGCAGGGGAAGGAGACTGGAGTAGCACTCAGGGAAGATGTGGCGCTTAACTTGTACCAGGCCAGCCAAAAACGTTGCCCCCGACCACTGGATTAAAAGAAAGTCTCGAAAGAGAAAAAAGCCTAAACTAGGACCCTTGCTATGGACACTGGATGTTGGTCTTTGTCAGAGACGGGACCCTGTGAATGAACGGGCTGGGGATCGCCG